CCTCCTTCATAAAGCTAGGGAATAATGGCTATTCATTGGGCCACAGTTATTGTGGGTGTTATTCAAAATGAATGCCTTAAATAATATTTTTTACTCTCTTAACATATCTGTACCTAACAGAATCTGAATTTCAGTTCTTCATCTTGCAAACAGACTAGGTCAGGGAGTTTCTGAGGATGCCACTGTTCTCTAGATCTCTACACAAAGTGAAGTTTAGAGCTCTGTTTGATTGTTGATATTAACCATATTGTCCTACAAAGTTTCCCAGCAGTTCTGGTCCAAGGGGTAGCTGAAGCAGAGTGAACTAGGAACAAAACTATTATTTTGATTCTCTGATTGCCTAATGATCCTGGTGTCTGATTCCCCTGATTGTTTAAAACCTAGAGACAAAAAAGAGTGTTAAGGCCTCTAGACTCTAATACACAGACATACTATGTCTTTAAATATTTTTATATTTTAATATACATTTTTTATTTGAGGCAAATGGATAAACACTGTTAAGTTGCCAGGAGGACTCTAACCATAAAATGGGGGGGGGGGCGGGGAGCAGACTAATGAGAGGTAAGGAATGAAGTTATGTCAGAAGAAAACAAAGGATGAAGTTATATCAGGTGGAAGGCACTAAGACAGACAGGGAAGCATCAGAAATCAGTGCTCAAACATGCATCTCTTCATGAAAAGATCAGGAGGATATAAGAACTGACCTAACAGCACTATCTAATTTGCTTTTCATGTTAGAAAATGAGCTGATGATCCTCTACATAAAATATGCCAAAGATTCTTCAATATGAGCTGGATGTCTTTAGAAAAAAATTTTCAAAGTTGTAATGAAGATGTTGACAGAGTTAAAACTGAAGACACAGACATCCATATCTGGAGAAGCAAGTGGACTCTGGAATTTCCAAGCAGACCAGTCAAATTTAGAAAAATAGCACACAATCCCTAGTTAAGATGCAGCACCTCTGATGGACTCTAGACAGAGCAGTAGCCTCTGTGACTCAGTCTCAAATTTCTTGTTTAGATTGTCATTTCTATTACAATACCTTTTGCCTTGAGCCCTCATATCTTCAATAAGCTTTTGTGAAATGCCACATGGAAAAGTATTTAACTGAGCTCTCTGTAATTTCTATAGGGTAGCTCCATTTTTTTTTTTTTTTTTTTTTTTTTGGTAAGACAGAGTCTCATTCTGTTTCCCAGGCTACAGTGACTCGGCATCAGCCTAGCTCACAGCAACTTCAAACTCCTAGGCTAAGCAATCCTCCTACCTCAGCTGCCCAAGTAGCTGGAACTACAGATACCTAGCACCACAACTGGATAATTTTTCTAGTTTTAATAGAGACAGGGTCTAACTCTTGCTTAGGAGGTCTCTAACTCCTGAGCTCAAGCAATCCTCCTGCCTCAGTCTCCCAGAATGCTAGAATTACAGGCATGAGCCACCATGCTGGCCTTTCTGATGATTTTATGGTATTAGAAAGTCATTACATTCAAAAGTCTAGAATCTTTGACTCTATTGAAAATCTTGTTTAATGATATTTGCCAAATTCCACCATAGGGGGCAGCACAGCACATGGAAAGAAAAGGGGTATTTGAAATTAGGCAGATCAGGATTAAAATCTCCTATCACTTATAATATGGTTTGGAGTCAATCATTTGGCCTATTTGTAACTTTTATTTACTTATCTGTCATAGGACCAGGCAAACAGTTCATGCTTAATAAACTGTAATTCTTGTGACTTTTAACATTAGGACAGTTTGGAATTTCTGACATACATATGCCTGCAAGAATAAACTTTTTGTGACTAGGGAAAAAAAAATTGTCCTCAGGGTTTTGACAGTTTTCAAAATGCTTTTAAGTAAATAAATACAAGGAAGAACCAAAATAATTTTTTCTCGTTTACATATATTGCTTATGCAACATATCTGGGAATGATGAATAAATTAAGTCTAGCTGTCCACAAGGTTCGTTTAGGAGACTGCCAAAAAAATAAAATTTGAAAAGTATCTTGAGGAACATTTGTACAAGGCTAATCCTACAATAACATTTGAAAACAGAATTTTAGGCCAGGCACAGTGGCTCATGTCTGTAATCCTAGCACTCTAGGAGACTGAGGTGGGAGGATCACTTGAGCTCAGAAGTTAGAGACCAGGCTGAGCAAAAGCTAGACCCTATCTCTACAAAAAATAGAAAAAATTACCTGGGCGTGGTGGTGCGTGATGCCTGTAGTCCCAGCTACTCGGGAGGTGGAGGCTCAAGGATCAGTTGAGACCAGGAGTGTGAGGTTGCAGTGAGCTATGACAATGCCACTGTACTCTTGCCAGGGCAACAGAGTGGGACTGTTACAAAAAAAGGAGAGGAGGCTTAATAAATGATTTTTATGATACTACTCTTTTCAAAGTGAAAGTCAAGAAGACTTAAATAACACTATGGCCTGGGGTAATGTGTGTAGAGAGAAGTGTCTTTTGTTTATAAAGATCGAGAACTTAAACCTCTGCCAAAATAAAGCAATTGAACAGTGACAGCTTCTCCCTCTTTACCACATTGTAAGATTTATATGGGTAGGTAACTGGCATGTTCTTCTAAAGCAATGTAATACTAGGTGACTTTTTTTAATGTTGTTGAAAAATAAAGTACTCTGGAAATGATCCTGTAGAAGTGTCTTAATGATGGACAGAAAGGAAAATATTTAGGCCAACCGCAGGCTGTAGAAGGGTACCACTGCCTGGGAATCAAACGGCTTTACATTCTCTATGCCATATTTATAAAGGCAAATGATTTCATGACAAACAAAAACAATATATCAAAAGTATATATATACACACACACATATAAATGCATATACACATTTATCCCTGTACATATATATAGAAACTTACATACACATCTATTCCTGCTGTTGTTAGAACCCAGTCTATTCCTGTTATCTTATACATAGAATGCAATGACTGTTATTCATGATTCAGAATCACTAGAAAAAACTAATTCAAATTCAACATACAGTATTTTGTTTATAAAGCAGTAACTATGTGAACTACTTAAGATATATCTAAAAGTTCTGTGTATGATTTCATCTTGAAAGTAAAAAAGGTAAAGCACCTGTCAAAAATGTGTGGTCCGATGACAGGTAAGTAAGCAGAAGTTACGGAGAGGCCAAATGATTCACCCCCCCCCCAAATCATACTATTAGTGATGAGAGAGCTTAATCCCAATCTGCCTAATTTCAAAAACCCTTTTTCAATGTGAAAACTGGCCAGAGAATAGTATGATGACTTTTCCTTTTGGAAAATGTTATGTTTTATCTCACTAACATTTTTATTTTTAATTTCAAGTATAGCAGAAGTCAGCAATAACTCTACACCGGTTTGCAAAGCTTAGTTTTGATTAAACTTCTTTCTTAAATAAGAAAGTGCAATTGAACCTTAAGTATTAACCCCCCATTCCTCTAACTGAAGCCTCACAAAAAAAGAGCTAGTAGAGGCATCTGGCTGAGATCCAAAGCTACTGCTTCAACACCTTGAGATAGGTAGAGTAAAATGGATGAAAACCACTACTTGATGCCATTTCCTTCTTAGACCACAGAAGCTAAATAAAACCTGACCTGCAAATAGGCCAGGCAAATTAGTGATAAACATGTTTTAGAAAGAGTTTAAATTTCACAAGCTGAAGCAAAAATGATTTTGCGAGTCAAGTATTAAGCCAAATAAGTAAGATACTTCATTCTAGGTCAATTTAGGTTAAAGGAGTATGATATTAAATCTGTTTATAACTTGCTGATGCTGCTCCAGGAACCTGTGTCCTTTTGACTTCAAGATTCTTCTTTTTGAAGCATCTTGGTCTTCTCTGCTATATCCCTTTTTGTTGGGGCCCAGGATGGGCCAGGTCTCCACCCCGGCTAATCTATTGTCCAGAGGCAGACCACTGTGCTATCTTGCTCAGGAACAATTACCCTTAGGTGCCTAAGAGCTATTTGCCTTAGCAGAAGGGAGAGAGAGAGAGAAACAGTCTTAGCAGGTCTTCTTGAAGAGATGCTGGGCAGACGCCCTGTGGGTAGGAGAAGCCAAAGAGTCAGAGTGAGGGAGTCCCTAAAAGAATAGCATGCACGCTCCTTGACTCACCTCTCCTGCAGCTACTTGTAGATATAATCCCATGGCTATTTACACCACAGGTGTAGAGACTGCCAATCACTGAAGTTCTCGTTGTGTGCGCTCTCCTGTTAAGGAGAGCCAAATCCCTTCCCTGTGCCCTTATCGCCAAGGTGTTACATTACCGAGCTGTTACAGAGTATTTCTTATAGTTACAGAGTGTTCCTGAGCTTAACTGACTTCTCCTTTCCATGAGCTATATGGTGGTCTGCTATACTTTTTAATAAAAGGATTTGTTCTACAAAATTTGGATGAAGTAAAAAGGCCACAGTTAAGGACCAAGAAGGCCACATTTCACCTTGAGGCCACAAGTTCCCCACCCCTGCCTGCTTTTTATAAATGAAAAGTTTCTTGGCTGGGTGTAGTAGGTCATGCCTGTAATCCCATCATTTGGGGAGGCTGAGGGAGGAAGAACTGCTTGACCCCATGAGTTTGACATAAGCCTGAGCAACATAGCAAGAACCTGTCTCTACAAAAATAAAAAAGTATTAGCCAAGTGTGGTGTATGCATCTCCAGTCCCAGCTACTTGGGAGACTAACGTTGAAGGATCACTTAAGCTCAGAAGTTGGAGGTTACAGTGAGCTACGATTGCATCTGTACTCCATCTTGGGCAACAGAGTGAGACCATGTCTATAAAAATAAAATAAAATAAAAAGTTTCTTCATACTTGATTTACAGAAATCATGTTTTACTCCAACCTTCTATACCTCATGCAACCTACTAACCCCTGACCTGGGGGCAAGGCTTAGAAGAAAATGTGATGTTAATGATTTTCCAGTGACAGGATCAGCTTCCTCCATTTGTAATTAAGACTGTCCCATTATCAGTATTTTTATTTGCACTACTTTCTAATGCCTTCTGTAAAACAAAACTTAGCTCATTTTATTATTATAATACATATATGAAGGTTAATTTGCAACATTTATGAAGACTGTGAGGAAGATCTCATTTCAATTAAAAGATACGTAAAGTTTCTCAGGTTAACAGCAAATTGAATATACTCACTTTTGTTGTCTTTGTATAGAATGGGGAAGAGAGTTGGTGAATGGGCAAGTCCACAATGCTACTGGAGTTTGTGACACTGTTACCATGTGTATGTTCATCTTCTCTGCTACTGTCATCAGACTGATCAAAATCATCACTCTCCTGGTCCATTTCCTCCTCCTCCTCATCCTCCTCATCTTGTTCACCAGCATGTTCTTCATCTTCCTCATGGTCTTCTTGGTTTCCTGAGGAATCCTCATCTACTGAAATAAATCGATTATTGTTTTCTTCCAAGTGTCCTTGCTGGGAATCATTTTGGTCTCCAGGTCGAGGTTCTACACCAACGATTTCACCATTCCTTACAGTGTGCTCCTCCTCTTGTTGTCTCAGTTGCTGCTGCTGTTCCTCCTCTACCACACGATTCATCTGTTCCTCATCTATCTGGCTTGAGGAAGGGTTACCTCTCAGAGAGCCTCCAGTTCGTCGTCTTTTGCTGCCCACAGAGAGCAGTTCCTGATTCATTTCCAAAAGCCAGCTTGCTACTTCTTGGACCTTGGCTAGACTATCAGAAGATGCAAAGGTTTTCACATTCTGCAAGGAAAAATGGGGGGAAAAAACAAGATTTATACAATCTGCATTATCTTCTTTTTTCATGTTATATGTCTGTTTTCTAGATATCACTGAAGATTGTGAAAAGTATTTGAAGTCATCAAGGCATTAAGACGTTCTTTAGTGCTCAATGTAGAATATTCCAATTATAAAAGTTATAAGACTTTAAGAAGACATACACAAAAATCACACAGTAAACTGTTTTAGGTCTCCTTTTAGTAACTCTTAGCATGAAGCTTTATAGTTCAATTTAGTTCCTTTGACCAATAAAACATAATTTAACCAATAAAATAATTTTAAATTTTAGATCAGTATTCTATATAAAAATTTCACAAAATGTTAAGAGCTGTATCACAAGAGAAACTATTTGGTGTTCAGTTAAGTTGAGGAAATGCTGAGGCAAATCAAGTTAAGAGGCTTTTATATCCTGGGAATTTCCCAAACTTTTCTGAACACAGAATCTTACTTTCAAACACACTTTTCTAACAGGTAACAAGTGTAATCTTTATGATTTTCATTTCTCATAATGAATATAAACTGACCAGACAGCAAATAAACAAAAACTTTTGTTTAGACATTTTTATTTTTAAAAAAAAGAAAGAAAAAAGTGCATAAGTTCATACCCTCTGACCCAGTAACTCCACTCCTGGCAAGCTATCCTAAGGAAGTAATCCTAAAACAGAAAAAACAAATTATACAGAGGATGCTCACTGCAATTTTATCCGCAAAAGCAAGAAATGAAGATAAACTATAAATAAAAATCAAAACCTAAATGTTTAAGATAAAGGAATCTATGAGATGGGATATACATAGTACAATCCCTAAACATGATGGACATTAAAAAAACATGTAAAAACATGTATGTTTATACTATATTATGCTAAGAGAAAAAATGCAGGAAATTATAATGATCACAGAATTATTTTTAAACTCCATAAAGATAAGAAGTGAGTATTTCAACATAAACTGCATTTTAGGCAGTGAGATTATAGATGGGTTTTTTAAATTAATTTCTCAAATTTTATATATCAAGTATGTTTACTTTTGTGTTCTTTAACATATGCTCTAAAACTTTATCTGATGTATCATCTTTTCATGTTCATTAAATTTTATTCATTAAATTTTACCCTTTGCTGTTATCTATATGGCCATGTTTGATACGGCATTATTATTAAAATAATTTCAACACATTATACATGCACAAAAATTAAGCACTTCTATGATGTAAAACTGGAAACTGCCAACCAGAAAAAATTTAATAAATGAAGTATTATCAATTTTAATCACTTTTAAGAGAAAATTTTTTATTTGATTTAGGACATTTTGTCATAAAACACAAACATCAACAAACAGAATCCTATACCCTAAAATTCAGTGTAAAACTGAATAGTCTTTTTTTTTTTAGCAGTAAAGTGTCAAGATATATCAAATATATAACTTAAGTTTTTATGGATAACTAATGACACTAAACTTGAGTTCAGTCAAATAAAATCTGATGGTCAATATATCTGACATTTAAATTAGCAATTGAATGTTATAAGAATAGCATGGTTCAAGGTCAGGAATATACTAATAAAAAAATCTATAGAACTTTTCACAGACAAGGCAAACAAAGCTCAAAGAGATTAAATTCTCAAGATTGCTAGCTTCAAGCTAGCTTCAAGTAAAAAAGAGGCAAGAATTTTGATACCCAACTGAGTCTTCTTTCATGTACCTAAGTATACAGTTACATGACAAAATCCTGAAAGAATATTAATAGTGTCTTCTTTTCTAAAATCATGATCACTTCAGTGCTCAAAGATTATTACTTTAAGCACTCAATATGCTTCAGGTACGTATTAATTTTCTGGTGGATGCTGTTTAGAAATGTTTTTCAAGTTAATCAATGGCATTCAAACTTTTTTGACCAGAATCCATAGTAAAATTCAAATTAACATCACAATTCTGCATGCATGTATTTACTTATAGTCATGATACCTGAAACAGTAAGTTTCAGACAAAAGGAATTATAAAATATTTCTGACATCAAAAGTCTCTATACATTACCACCCTTGGGCAGTGGCTCATGCCTGTAATCCTAGCACTATGGATTTCCAAGGTGGGTAGATTGCTTGAGCTCAGGAGTTCAAGACCAACCTGAGCAACAGATCATCTTTTTAATAATAATAATTTTAAAAAAGTGGTGGGTAGCTGCAGTCCCAGCTACTTGGGAGGCAGACTCTATCTTAATAATAAATAAATAAGTGAATAAATAAATAAATAATAACTACCCTTAATTAAACATAGTTGATCCACATTATTTATAGTAATCATGTTCTATAAAGTTGCTCTAATCTCTGAATTAGCAAATACTGAACCATTGCTCCTAGAGGAAATATATATTGTTGATTTGTTAACATTGAACTTACACAACAGCACTATAACTCACGTCTGAATGAGGCTTACCTAACACATATTATTTTTTCCATAAGGCAAATTACGGCCTTCTTGCACTAAGGAACATGAGATAGCACATTAGCACTATGCTTAGAGTCATAAAAAGCACAAGAATGTGAAAAGTCTCACTATAGTAGACTATGAAAATGATACTTGTTTACAGTATGAGAGCTGAAACAAGAAGGCAGAGCTCAATTGGAAACACATATGTCAGGTGGCTCAAATATTTTAACATTCTGTACGTGCACATCTCCATAAATGACTATGAAGTGCCACACATGAATAATGACTTTGGGGTTATAAATAAATTTTACTGAAGAGACAAATTCTCAAATGCAGAATATTCAAAATAATGAGGATGGATTGATTATACCTACTTGATCCAAATCCTCTAAGAACTGCTTGCAATGCAAGATTCAGAGTATTCTGAGATATGAATAAAGAAGCCACAGCACTGTATACTGTTATGGTTCTGCCAACCTAACAAAGGATAAGTGATCAGAAATAGTAAAAGCTCCAATACAGATATTCATCAATAAAAGTTTTCAAATAAATCAAAAAGTTCAGATAACCCATATAAAATAAAGTTGGACTTTGTATAAAGTAATTGCTGGAGAAAGAAACAGGAAAGGGGACATTATTATTCCTTTTATAAAGTGGGGAGAACAGCATTCTTCTGGCAGTCTTTCAAGCAGTGGGAAGTTCAGAGAGGTCCTGCCCTAAGGGTACTTAAAAAGATGCCTAAAATCATCTCCATCCCTGGATGAAAAAGAAATATGACAACAATTTTGGTCTTCAAAAATGCAAAACTAGATTATTTAGAGAAAACAGAGCTAATTTGTGACTTTCCCCAAGTCCTAGAAAATAGAGGGTAACTTTTAGCCACTATCCTTCCTATGTTAATTTAGTGGCATTTCAGTATGTGTGTATTTTTTTTATAAATTAGCATAATTTATAAAACACGTAATTTCAGTATGTGTGTATTTTTTATTAGCTTCTCATGAACTTAACCAGTTTCTCATGAATCTTGTTTTTCAAAAGGAGCCTTTGATAACCATGTAGGATACTTAAAGGAAGAGAAGTGAGTATAGATACATGTGTTAAACAAATGGACCTCTAAGAGCCTTAGATTTAACTGGAGTTGTGAGCCTCAAAGAAAGATTTCAAGACAAAGCTTGTTTTAGAAATCACAGTATGCACTAATAAAATAAGGGGTGGTTTAAGCAAATTATCAAAACTTCCAAATGACTGGGAAACCATCAATTTGGTAAGAACTTACGTGGTATGTATGATCTATTAGGCCTAAGTCACAAAGTCATGAAGATAACCAGAAAATAAATCAACTGTATTGACCATCAGGAAGAATAACTTACCAAGCTTGGAATCACTTCCAAAAGCACTTTGGGGTTTTCTCTGAATCCTAAAAGAGTCTCTCTCCTATCAGTAACAGTCTTCTTCAGGCCATAGCACTTACTAGCACACTTGCTTCACATTATGCAGTACTTTTCAAATCAGTAGGGCATAAATCCTAATACCTTAACATTTATTTGTAAATTATCTTCTAAATCATAAAAAACACTTTTTATTCTGCATTGAACTCCTTATTTTTAGCACAGACTATTAAAAAAAAAATTACAGTTGACCTTCTAAGCCCAAAGGACTGTAACAAACTGGCAACATATGGAAGTGGTCAACATAAGGAATTAGTCCTACTGCACTGATATGTACATGTGGTGCATGCCCCAGTCCATGAAAATTAGGTCAGCGTAAGGAGATGGGAAACACAGGGAGGAGGTCAACTATGGAGGTTCTATTTTGTATCTTTACTAGAAAGGAGGCAAAAGACTACTACTTCTCAACTTCTCAGTCCACATGACAATACTCTTTATATTACTTAAATTCTAATATATATCTTGTTTTGGCCATGTAATCTCTCATTCTCTCACTCTGCTATCTCAGTGATCTGGCTCACTTTATCATAACTAAATTTTAAACTGGTTAAATCTCAATAGATCTTTGGGAATTTTTGATCCTTAACTTTATCCCTCAGTGCATCCCTCAGGCAGCACTACAATTACACTCCTTTGCCAGCTTCTCCCTCTCTGCAGTTTCTTTGATATCCAGGGTTTAAACTACCACATAGAAGCTAATGACTCAATTATATTATCCCCAGTCTGAATCTTCAACTGAGGCTGTTTATATATTGCGTGTGTGTGTGTGTACACTTATTTCAGGTTAATGTGAGGGTACAAACAACTAGGTTACAATATTTGCATTTGTGAGGTAGAGTCCCTTTTGTAGTCGTGTCCCACCCCCAAAAGGTGTGCCATATACCCATTGTGCCCATTAAGTGGTAGCACACCAATCTCCTCCTCTCCTTCCCTCTCCCCTAACATTGTTCCCCCTCCACCAAACTTGAATTGAGTTTTTGTTTTTTTTTTATTAAATCATAGCTGTGTACATTAATACTATCATGGGGTACAATGTGTTGTTTCTATATACAGTTTGAAATACTTCATCCAACTGGTTAACATAGCCTTCACGTCATTTTCTTAGTTATTGTGTTAAGACATTTATATTCTACATTTAGAAAGACTCACATGTACCCCCATAGGATAAACCATAGACGTGATCCCACCAATCGCCCTCCTTCTACCCATCTTCCTCCCTCCCCTCCCCTCCCCTCCCCTCCCCCTTCCCTTTCCCCCATTCTTGGGCTAAAATTGGGTTTCATAATAGGGTTGAGTACATTGGATACTTTTTCTTCCATTCTTAATATACGAGTTCTTTTCTTTTGATGTGAGTGTGTATTGAATCATCAGCTGGCTTCACACTAGTGTTAAGTAAGGTGGATATTTGCTTTTCCATTCTTGTGATACTGTATTAAGAAGAATGTGTTTCCACTCCATCCAGGTTAAGACAAAAGATGTAAAGTCACCCTTTTATGGATGAATAGTACTTCATGGTATACATATATCACAGTTTACTAATCTATTCTTGGGTTGATGGGTATATTTAGGTATTTTAGATGTCCCACAGTCATTCCCAATTCATTATTTTAAAAACCAGACATCTATTTCCCCTTATGCCCACCTGAGGCCCAAATTTATTCTTACATCCTCCTATTATTTTCTCTATTTAAGGCAGACATCCTCAAACTGCGGCTCGCGAGCCACACACGGCCCGCCGGGTGTTTTTACCGCTGCTGCCTGTCCTGCTTAGCAGCCAACTTGTCCT